GGCTACACAGTGAGACTCTGTCTCAAAAAAGAAAAAGCCAATTAGTGTACTATGTCACAACAGTCTAAAAAGAAAAGTCACCATGATTATAGCAGTATATGCAGAAATAGTAGTTTACAAAATCCGTTGCCTATTCATGATGAAAACTCTCAGTATATTAGGAATAAAGGGGAATTTTCTTGACTTTTACAGAGTGCAAAATAATCTTTTACTAACATTATACGTTGGGACTGGGCTATGTGACTCAGATCTCACAGTATTGAGGTAGGGCACAGGGAAGGGGCATGGGGAAGTTTGCTGACACTGAAGGTCCCCTGGCTCTGGGCAGGATGCTGATAACGAGCACTCCTGAGGCAAGACTGCTGAGGATGGTTGTCCATGTACAGGCCTTTGGGTGTAGAGAAAATCCGGTTCCTCCTAACCTAACCCTCACTCACTCATTCTGCATAGTTGCTGTTCCAGGGAACATGTGACACCCCTCCCCTGTGCTTCCCACTGGCTAATGAAAGTGAGCCAACCTGGAGTTTTATTCCAGTCTGTCCGCTAGAGGCAGGTCTCCTCCAGTCCCCCCTTTATATCTTGAAAATTGTCTCTGTCTCTTTCTTTTATTCCTCATCATTCCCCCCAAAAGGTAGCTGAGGGTCTGATCAGCACTTGGTAATCATACTTAATGAGAAACGACCTGGGGGCACAGAGCCTTCACCCCTCAGGCACAGGCTTTCTGGCTCCCACCACTGGCCTTTGGGCCTTCCCGGTGCAGATCCCTGATACGGACTTGCATGAGACACTGCCATGAGCTCTCGGCCTTCAGCTGGATGTGTGCGGGACACTGCCGTGGGATCAAGGCCCTCTTTGGGTCTCTAGCGTTGAGACAGGTCTCTTGCACTCCTCTGCATTTGACTTTTGGGGTGAATTTTATAAAAATAATCCTATAAATGATGTGCCCTGTTTTAAATGCATTCCCTTGCAAGCCCTGACCTCCACAGTGCCCATGCCATGTGGAAATACACCCATGGCCAGGGGAAGAGACAACCAGGAGGGCATGAGTGCCTGCAAGGGAGAGGACAGTGGGAAGTCGGCGCCTCCCTGGAAATTTTGCTGTAAACAGAAAACTGGCCCCAAAATGAAGTCATTCTAAAATGTGGGGCTGTGTTCACAAATAGGAAGTGCTGGAAAGATTGCTAGATGCATATTAGATGAAAGCAGTAAGTACAAGTGCCAGCCCCGCGATTGCCACCCCAAATTTCTTACTCACTTGCCTACCGGTGTGTTATTTGGGGAGGAGGCCTCACTGTGCTGCCTGAACTGTTCTGAACACCTGAGCTCACAGGGCCACCTCAGCCTGTCCATGCAGGAGCACAGCCGTGTCTCATCCCCAGGTCTCCGGTTCCTATAAAGACCACCTTGACCTATAGCTTCGTCCTCCACAGGGTCCACCAAAAACAACATAAAGAAACATTTCCACCAGGCACAACGGCACACTCCTCTAAGCCAGCTGCACAGTAGGCTGAGGCAGGCAGATCACAAGTTTGAGCCCAGCCAGGGCAACTCAGTCTCAAAGCATAAAAAAATAATAAAATGGAAAGGGCTGATGTAGCTCAGTGTAAAGGTCCTGGATTCAATCCCCAATAGCACACACGCGCGCGCGCGCGCGCGCACACACACACACACACACACACATAAATAAATGAGCAGTCATGGTGGCATATGCCTGTGATTGTAGAGCTCTGGGAGGCTGAAGCACGACTGCAAGTTCAACCTCAGCCTGTGTACCTTAATGCTGTAGTGAAATACTGTCTCAGATTTCAAAATAAACAATAAAAAGGACTGGGGATGTAGCACAGTGTAAAGATCTTGGGCTCATTCCCCAGCACAGCAAAACAAAACAAAAAAAAATTAATTTAATTTAAAGGAAACCAAGCAAGCCAGAAAGGATTTTTTTTCTGGTGCTGGAAATCGAACTCAGGACCTTGTGCTTGCCATGCTGCTGAGCTACATCCCTGGCCCTGAGAAAAACAGTTCTAGGAATCTAAACTATATAAATTTGTCAGAGTCCACAAGGATATGTGTGTAATACACTGCATGTTTATGGTCACCTTGTTTGCAACAGAAAATTACATAAAAGCTGATCAGTATGTAAATGGTCAAGTGGGCTTTGAGGACAGTTTGCTAGAGAACAGAGTAGACTGACCACCAAGGGAAGAATAGATTCGTACATCTCACAGGGAAAGGGGCACCATGCGCATCCCCTTCCCAACCTGATAAGCAAAGATGCCCAGTGAGTCGGTGAATCGGCTGCCGCTGTTCAGGAGAGAAGGGGGGGGGGGTGCAGGAGGCTGCAGCTCTGCAGTTCTCAGCAGGAAGGGCTGTCCACATTTCCGCGGGCCCTGGGCCCCTATAAATACCACTCGCCATGGGGTCATCAGGGCAGATTTCTCAGAAAACGGCATGGCCATCAGAGCAGGGCTGGACTCCATCTAACTGGCAGCCTCTTCCGAGCCCCCTCTGCCCACAGAGCCCGAGCCTGGCCCGAAGCTCCCACCACTTCGAAGGCCTGGAAGAGCCAGGATTTGGAAGGGTTAAGGACTGGGTCCATCTGAAAAGTGGCCAAGTCTGCATGCTGCTCACGTCCAGCTGAAATCACATAAGAAACTATAACCTCAGAAAGGGCCACTGGAAGCCAGGCGTGCTGATGCACATCTGCAAGCCCAGCACTCTGGAAGGCTGAGGCAGGAGGATCGCAAGATCAAGCCAACTGACTCAGTAAGCCCCTGGAGACGCCAGTGGTGGTGGTATCAGCGTGCACACAGGTGTCTGGTGCCTGTGTTTGTTTTCGAAGTCGTCTTCTGCGTGAGTGGGCTGAGCTTTGGGACAGTCATGAGGACTCAGCCTCCTTGGGAAAGTGATTCTCCACAGTCAGCCTCTGTCCTCCTAATCCCCATCCCTGTGAAGAGCACGTTGTCAAGTCTCTGGTCCTAAGACAAATTCACTTATCCTACAACATACAGTTGAGATGTTTACTGCAGCTTGTGCTGGGATGGCCCAGGGCCTTGCTCTGCTCAGGCCGCCCCCACTGACTGTCCCTTTCTCCCTGCTACAGCCTCATTGTAGCCAACACTCAGTAAGTCATCCAACTCATTCATCATTTTGTTTTTTAACATACCGAGGATTGAATCAAGGTGTTTGTGCTGAGCTATCTTCTTGGCCCCGTTTTTTATTTTTATTTTGAGGCAAGGTCTCTCTAAGTCTTTCTGCCCAGGTAGACTCAAACCTGTGATCCTCCTGCCTCAGCCTCCCAGAAGGCTGGGATTATGGGCATGCATCACACACAGCTGTGAGACAGACATCATGCTTCTTACTAGTTAAATTTGTCCTCCCCGAGCTCATGTGCTGAAATCCCAGCCACTGGCACCTCAGAAGTTACCTGCTTGGAAGCAGAGGCCGTGCAGACACCATAGTGAGGAGGAAGTCTCCAGGAGGAGGGTGGGCCTGCCGCATGCGGCTGTGGTACTGGTGAAGCAGGAAGTTGGGCACAGAGGGGCACCGGAGGACTTCATGTGACATGGGGAGGACACTGAGGAGATGCACCAAAGGATGGGGACACCACAGATGGCCAGCAAAGCTCCGGGACTGGAGGAGAGGGCGATGGAAGGGCTGGGTCTGGACGCCCCCAAAGCCTCATGCTGTCCTAGGTGGGGCTTTTCAGAGGTGGCTGGATCTAGAGTGTGAGATGCTGGGATCCGGGATGTGTGATTAATAAATCCATCCACGGATTGGTTTGGCACTGCCCTCACCCCAGTAGCCTGGATTCAACATAAGGGATGGGGTGGGGGGAGGCTTGTCTTCTCCTGGTTGCTCTGCTGTCTTCTGCCTGCTATGAACTGTTTCTCCTCTGAGGTGCCTTCTGCCACCCCACCTTGGAGCCAGCCGATTATGGACTGAAATCTTTACAAAATATGAACTAAATAAACCTTTGCTCCCTTAACTTGTGGGTTCTGGGCATTCTGTCTCAGCAATAAGAGAGAAGTAACTAAGACGGCTGGGTGGGCTCCCCCGCCTCAGTAGGGACAGATGCTGACGTCTGGGCCTGAGGCTCCTGGGCCCTGCAGCCGAAGGACCAGACCCTACTGCTTGTGCCATGGGGCTCCTGGGAATCTGTGTGGCAGCCTGAGAGCTGACGCAGGCCCCTCCTGTACTCCTGCTCTGTGATCCACATGCCAAGTGCAGCGGAGCGCTGCAGGCGCCATTCCCCTTCCTTCCTCACTGAGGACGTAGAGCATCTCTCTTGCCAGGACATTCAGGTTTCTCTCTTTTCTTTCTTTCCTGACTATTTATTTATTTATTTGTACTGGAGACTGAACCCAAGGCCTTTGCAGTGAGCTCCATCCCAGGCCCTTTTTTAAGTTTCATTTTTTGACAAGGTCTCTCTAACTTGCCCAAGCTGGGCTCAAATTTATGATTATCCTGCCTCAGCCTCCCAGAGTAGACATGCACCACGACATCCGGCTATATTTAATTTTTTTGAAATGGCTGCATAGTGTGGGCTTATCTTTTCTCCTTACCTTCAATATGTTATGTTAGGCTTTCTAGTACAGGAGTATTTTGGGTTTCTGTTTTTATTTTTTATTTTTTTGGACAGGGTCCCATTTGTAGTCTAGGCTGGTCTTGAACTCCAGATTCCCCTGCCTCACCCTCCTGTGCTTGCTTTGTTTTATTTATTTATTTATTTATTTATTTATTTATTTATTTATTTATGAAATAGGGTCTTCCTACGTAGTTCAGGCTGGCCTTGAACTGTAGGCAATCCTCCTGCCTCAGCCTCCTGAGTGCTGAGATTACAGGTATGTGCCACCATACCTGGCCCTCTCAATGATTATTAAAGTCTGTTTGTATTAGCATATCTATATAATAATGTAAATATTACATTTTATATATGAACAAAGTTTATCTAAAAATGTAACATTTCAATAATAAATTAAAATCAACAAAATTCACTCCCCTTGTCTGCCGTCACCAGGTCCCCGTGGGTACTCAGTTCTGTGTGATTCCGCTGTACCTGTCCACTCCCACGAGGGCCACACCAGTTACCTCCAGCGCAGTTCCAGCCTCAGGCCACCTCACTGTCCCATGACCGCTGACCGGCAGCTCTGTGCCCTCTATCTGTGGCTGGTCCCCCAAGGCTGTTCGTGCACTAGTCCTCTGCCTGTGGAGTCAGCTTCTGCACTCAGCACCACCTCTCCCCATGTACCAGGTGTGTGCACCAGGAGCTTGCTCCTTTTCCTGCTGAGTCCCAGGTGTTCTGTGGCTTGGATGCTCTCCCCTTTCTCCTCCTGTCACCTGTTGGGCGTATTTAGTTTGTTTCCAATCTCTCACCATTGTGAACAGCATGGATGTGCTGCAAGAATGTAAGTTTTCATTTCTTCAGGAGAAGCCTCCAGGGGCACAGTGCGTAGGGCACACACACTTTAGCTTTATGAGAAGCGACTTGAGCACAAACGCTTAACTGTTCGCATCAGCATGACTGGCAGTGTTTGTGCCCTATACCAACAGTCCTGTCCCGCAGCCACTTCCGGAGAACGTTATTGAGTTGCTTATACTGATCTATATTTTCTTAACTGTAGGAAGGAGAAAAAGAACACTCAGAAATCCACTTTACATTTATTGTGTAAATACAGTAAAATTTGGAAAAGTAATCTTTTTTTAAAGCTGGGTGGCGCATGCTTGCAATCCCAGCACTCTGGCCTGGGCAACACAGTGGCTTAGTATCTGAGAACTGAAAATGGACAAAGGACTGGGAATGCAGGCCCTGGGTTCAATCCCCAGTACTGAAGGAAGAGAGAGAGAGAGAGAGACAGAGAGGAGAGAGAGGAGAGAGAGGAGAGGGAGAGAGAGAGAGAGAGAGAGGAGAGACAGGGAGAGACGGGGGGGGGTTAGTTTGGTATGGTGGGCAGTGCATGCCCATAACCCCAGCTTCTTAGGGGCCTGCTATTTGAGCCCAGCCTGGCAGTTTAGCAGTTTAGCAATTCCCTGTCTCAATTTTTTTTTTTAAAAAAGGGATGGGATGTAGCTCAAAGTGAAAGGGCCAGGGTCCAATCCTCCCTGTCACTGGGGAAAAAGTGTTACTTGTCATGCTTTTGATTCCCCGGAATTCTCTGCTGTCCCTCAAGTCCCTCTTTCTCTGGCAGCTCGAGGGACAGGCAGGCCACGGATCTCTCTCAGGACAATAATAATAATAATTTGTGTGTGTGTGGTGCTGGTGACTGAACCCAGGGCTTTCACACTGAGCTACAGCCCAGCACTATTCTTTTTTATTTGGAGGCAGGGTTTTGCTAAATCACTAAGTTGCCCAGGCTGGTCTTGGGACTTGCAGTCCTCCTGCTTCAGCCTCCCAGAGCACTGGGATCACAGAGTGCTGTGGGCCTGCACCACCACAGCCAGCGCATAGTGACAAGTTTTCATATTACTTTTGGGGTCTCCTTTTTGTTTCCTTTCTTTCATGCTACAGCCATTCTCAAAACCAGGTGATTCTTGCTAGGCATAGTGATACAGGCCTGTAATCCCAGCACCTGGGAAGCTGAGGCAGGAGGATTGTGAGTTTGAGGCCAGCCTGGAAGACCCCATCTCAAATAACAACGAAGAAATAAAAAGCAGAAATCCTGGTGACTCTTGAGTACAATGCAGGCTAGTGTGTTACAGGGAATACTGACTGCAGGTGGAGATCATGGGGCCCTAAACCTGTCTGCTCAGAAAGGAGAACCACTCCAAAAGCCTGTAAATAGCATGGTGTAGGGCTCAGTCCTCGCAGGACTGATCTGGACTCGAACTTCCAATCCGGCCCCCCCCCCCCCCGTTAACCCTCCCAGCACTACAGGTGCCCCCACCAGGCCAGGCATTGGTGGTTTGAGACAGAGTCTTGCTAAATTGCCCTGGCTGGCCTGGAACTTGAGCTCCTCCTCCCTCAGCTTCCCCAAGTACTGGGGTCATAGGTGTGCACCACCCCACCCTGCTCCCACCCGGTTTCAGTTTTTATTTTGAGCCAAGCTCTAAGTCGCCAAATTGCCAAGGCTGGTCTGGAATCTGCAACCCTCCTGTGCTGTGGAGGCTACAGGCCACCAAGCCCGGCTGGGCCTCTGTCTCTGCTCCTGCTCAGGGCTGTCTGGATCGGTGGTGCCCCAAGGCAAATCCAGACTCCTGCCCCTTCCAGAGGCTTCCAGGGAAGCCACCTGGGCTGGCCTCTGTCCTCTCCCTCACGGTCTCATCCCGGATGGTCACCGCCTCTGAGCCTCCACCCTGACCCCAGCTCGGTCTCTGCTGCCCACACGGCTCCGCCCGCTCAGCACCTCCCCTCTGACCTGTCTCTCAGTTTTGCACATCAGCAAGTCCTGCTGGCTTCCGGCCCTGGGAGGAGGAGGCAGGGAGGCTCTGAAGCAGCCATGGGGAGAAAGGCAGCAGGCAGCTTCAACTTCTGGTGATGAAAGGGGAAATGTAAATCAACTTGGTCAATAATCAAGCAAGCTGGTACGCCCTGAGACAGGAAGGTCGGATGCCAGGGCAAGATGGGCGTGTTGACCCTGCGCCCGGGATACCAGGACTCCAAGAGGCTGAGGCAGGAGGGTGGTAAAGCTGAGGCCAGCCTGGGTGGCTTAGAGACTTCGTGACACTCAAGAAAAGAAAATGGGCTGGAGGTGTGCTCAGCGTGAAGATTTGGGGTCCCATCCCCAGTGCCATCAGAAGCACCTTCAGGTTAGTGCTTTCCACACTAAGATCTCCACCTGGAGAGGAGGTGTTGCACCTTTTTTAATATTTTATTTTTTGAGAGAGAATATCTTATTCTGGAGCCAGGTTGGCCTTGGACTTGCGATCCCTCTGACTCAGCCGAAGAAGTGTTGGGATTATAGGCCTGTGCTGCGTGACATGCTTCTAAACACATTGTGGGCCATCCACAAACTCATGCTTGAACAAGAGCTAAAGTCACACCTGTCTGCATACCCTTTCCCCTTTTGGGGAAAAACAAAAAGAAAAGTTAATGATTGGGAGGCTGAGACAGGAGGATCACAAGTTCCAACCCAGCCTGGGGAATTTAGAGACTTACCGTGACCCTCTCTCTAACTAAACAAAAATTAGAAAGGACTGGGACATAACTCAAAGCAAAGGCCTGGGTTCAATCCCCAGTACCGCAAAAACAAAGGTCGGCATGGGCCGCTGCCCTCTGCAGGCCGCCTCCCGGCCTCACCCCGGCCTGTGCAGCTGGTCCGAGAGAGTTCATCCCACGGAAGGCCCAAGCTCAGGGCCCTGCACGGTGTGCTGGGTCCGCAGGGTGGAGAGCTTGCAGGAGACCTGGGCCTGAGCCCATAGACGCCCGCTGGGTGTGAAGAGCCAGCCGGGACCTGGGCCAGGCAGCGTGACTCACAGAGTCGGAACCCCGGCGCGGAATGTGGAGGGCAGAGATTCCGAAGGTTCCAGGAGACCTCTGTCTGGGGCTGGGCTGGGACCAGGGCCGTCTCCAAGGCAAGCAGGTGCGGGTTCCCAGGTGCAAGGGGCCTCGGCCTGAGGAGCCAACACTTAACTCCTGGAAGCTCCAGGGTAAGCACGGGAACTGGCTGTGCAGTGACCTTGCCCACAGGCAGGACTGGGGCAGGCGGCCAGCCGAGCTGCAGGCCCACAGTGGGACCTGGCTCTCTTCCGACTCAGCAGACATTAGCCCAGACTCCGATCCGGCCCCTGCTCCAGGCTGCCCTGTGGCTGGGGGAGAGGAGACCTGGTGTGAGGCGCTGAGGCCTCTCAGCTGGCTCAGATCCCCTTCCCTCTGCCCCGCCGTGGCCTGTGGCAGGGTTGTCAGAAGAGGGGTGAGGGGAATTGGCTGACAGCAGGCACCCACGGGGAAGCAGGGCCAGCCACGGAGCCGCCCGGCGGGAGGAGGAGCAGGGAGGATGCCTTCCAGACCCAGCCTCCACGGCTCATGTCTCCTCTCTGCTTTGGGTGCCCCTGTGGGGCTGCACTGCAGACCACAGCCATTTACTTATTCATGGGTACTGGGGATTGAACTCAGCTACATTAAGCTACATGCCCGGCTCATTTAAATTTTTTTTTTGAGGCAAAGTCTCACTACATTGATAAATTATCCGGGTTGGTTTGGAATTTGCGATCCTCCTGCCTCAGCCTCTTGGAGTGCTGGAATGATGGGTATGGGTCGCCATGCCCTGCCACCAGCCTGTCTTTGTATTCTTCCCTTCTGCTAAAAAGGTTTAAAAAGAGAAATAAGCCCTGAGGGAGGAGGGTCAGGAGAGGCAAGGATGGTCTCAGACGAGCAAGTCCAGCTCCCTCAGGAACCCACACGGAAGTGGCAGTGGTGGGAGGTGGGGTGGCCCAGGTCCACAGGGCGACGGGGCCGATGCGCTTCTCACAGTCCACGTGGGCGCTGGGGCCCGGCCGGCTTCTCTGGGGCCCAGGGCCACTGCCTCGGGCGGAGCTCCGGACCCTGGGTCTCCAGCGGCCTGGGGTCGGGACGGTCCCCTCGCAGCCGCTCTGAGGGCCCGGGCGGGGCGGGGCGGGGCGGGG